AAACCCTAAACCCTAAACCCTAAACCCTAAACCCTAAACCCTAAACCCTAAACCCTAAACCCTAAACCCTAGCCGCGCAAGCAGCGCGCGGGCCGGCAGCGGGTAGCGGGCGGTTCGCGGGCGGCGTGCAGGCCGCGCGGGCGGTTCGCGGGCGGTTCGCGGGCGGTTCGCGGGCGGCGCGCAGGTTGCGCGGGCGGTTCGCGGGCGGTTCGCGGGCGGCGCGCAGGCCGCGCGGGCGGTTCGCGGGCGGTTCGCGGGCGGCGCGCAGGCCGCGCGGGCGGTTCGCGGGCGGTTCGCGGGCGGTTCGCTAGAGGGCCAACGGGGCCGGTAGGTGCGATCGCAATCGACGGGGCCAGCGGGGCCGGGAAAAAAAAGGTAACGCTCGCGAGGGCGCTACGGGGGAGACGCTAAGAACGCGCTCCGGTAGGTAGGTAGGTAGGTAGGTATCGTACGGTGGGCCCTAAGAACAGTCCTAGCGAAGGACCTGCTCTGAAACCATGTCAGAATAACTGAGCAGGAATGGAATGAACTAGCACAGAGTTTGGTACAAGTAGGAAACCCTAACTTTGTGTACCCCCTAAGGTGTAACCCACTACAGCCTACACAATATAAACATACAATGTTTGACACTTCTCTGGGCTTATTGTCAAGCCAGCAAGAGCGTGGAAGGGTTGCGAGCATCATTGGTCATCGGCCCTTGAGAATGAAGAGCGCCCGCTGCACTTCCTCCACATGTGCAGATCCTAGCGCGTTTTCAGGCTAAAAACTCTCGTTACGAGCGTTTTTTCTTCCACCGGGTCACGTGGCTGCGCTTTTCTGGGCCTATTGCCAAGCCAACAAGGGCGTGGAAGGGTTGCGAGCATCGTTGGTCATCGGCCCTTGAGAATAAAGAGCGCCCGCTGCACTTCCTGCACATGTGCGGATCCTAGCACGTTTTGAGGCTAGAAGCGCTCGCAATGAGCGTTTTTCTTCCACCGGGTCATGTGGCTGCGCTTGTCTAGGCCTCTTGCTAAGCCAGCAAGGGCGTGGAAGGGTTGCGAGCATCATTAGTCATCGGCCCTTGAGAATGAAGAGCGTCCGCTGCACTACCTCCACACATGCGGATCCTATCGCGTTTTGAGGCTAGAAGCGCTCGTTTCGAGCGTTTTTTTTTTTCCACCGGGTCACGTGGCTGCGCTTGTTTGGGCCTATTGCCAAGCCAGCAAGGGCGTTGAAGGGTTGCGAGCATCATTGGTCATTGGCCCTTGAGAATGAAGAGCGCCCTCTGCACTTCCTGCACATGTGCGGATCCTAGCGCGTTTTTAGGCTAGAAGCGCTCGTTCCGAGCGATTTTCTTCCATCGGGTCACGTAGCTGCCCCTGGCCGAACCTATTGCCAAGCCAGCAAGGGCGTGGAAGGGTTGCGAGCATCATTGGTCATCGGCCCTTGAGAATGAAGAGCGTCCGCTGCACTTCCTGCACATGTGCGGATCCTAGCGTGTTTTGAGGCTAGAAGCGCTCGCAATGAGCGTTTTTCTTCCACCAGGTCACGTGGCTGTGCTTGTCTAGGCCTCTTGCCAAGCCAGCAAGAGCGTGGAAGGGTTGCGAGCATCATTGGTCATCGGCGCTTGAGAATGAAGAGCGCCCGCTGCAATTCGTCCACATGTGCGGATCCTAGCGCGTTTTGAGGCTAGAAATACTCGTTCCGAGCGTTTTACTTCCACCGAGTCACGTAGCTGCGCTTGTCTGAACCTATTGCCAAGCCAGCAAGGGCGTGGAAGGGTTGCGAGCATCATTGGTCATCGGCCCTTGAGAATGAAGAGCGCCTGCTGCACTTCCTGCACATGTAGCGCAATTTGTGGCTAGAAGCGCTGACAATGAGCGTTTTTCTTCCACCGGGTCACGTGGCTGCGCTTGTCTGGGCCTATTGCCAAGCCAGCAAGGGCGTGGAAGGGTTGCGAGCATCATTGGTCATCGGCACTTGAGAATGAAGAGCGCCCGCTGCACTTCCTCCATATGTGCGGATCCTAGCGCGTTTTGAGGCTAGAAGCGCTCGTTCCGAGCGTTTTTCTTCCACCGGGTCACGTGCCCGCGCTTGTTTGGGCCATTAGCCAAGCCAGCAAGGGCGTGGAAGGGTTGCGAGCATCATTGGTCATCGGCCCTTGAGAATGAAGAGTGCCCATTGCACTTCTTGCACATGTGCGGATCCCAGCGCGTTTTGAGAATAGAAACTCTCGGAATGAGCGTTATTCTTCCACTGGGTCACTTGGTTGCGCTTGTTTGGGCCTATTGCCAAGCCAGCAAGGGCGTGGGAGGGTTGCGAGCATCATTGGTCATTGGCCCTTGAGAATGAAGAGCGCCCGCTGCACTTCTTGCACATGTGCGGATCCTAGCGCGTTTTGAGGCTAGAAGTGCTCGTTCCGAGCGTTTTTCTGGATATCCTCTCCCAAATATCTATCTCCCGGATATCATCTCCCGGATATTATCCCCCACATATCCTCTCCCGGAGTTATCATCTCCCCGATATCCTCTCCCGGATATTCATCGTGAATATCATTTTCTCCCGGATATCCTCTTCTGGATATCATCTCCCGCATATCCTCTCCCGGATATCCTCTCCCGGGTATCCTCTCCCCGATATCCTCTCACAGATATCCTCTCCCGGGTATCCTCTCCTGGATATCATCTCCCGGATATCCTCTCCCGGATATCCTCTCCAGGATATCCCCTCCCGGGTATATCCTCTCCAGGATATCCTCTTCCAAATATCCTCGTCCGGATACCCTTTCCTGAATATCCTCTCCCGAATATCCTCTCCCGGCCCGGATATCCTAGCCGGTCCACTGTTTTCCGAAGGGTAAATGAAACCACTGGTTTAGCTATCCAGATAGATTGGGTAAAATAAAAGTGGCAAAAAAAAGGGTACCATAGAAATGGCATATACACTATTATTTTTTGCACAAACTCTTTGCCCTTTTGAATATCCATTCTAAAATAAATCTACCGTCATCACCCGGATATAAGACAGTGTTGAATAAAAGACAGGGGGTGTCTATTATCCGGGTGTCTCTTTTAAACGGGGTAGCCTCATTATAAGACACCTATTTGTGTGTACGAGTTAAGCCAGTGTAGGGGTTAGGGGTAATCGTATGGCAAAGGGGTATCTTCTAAACGTTTCCTCGTCCATTTATAAGACTTATACGACACCCTAAACGGTCCCAAATACAAGACAACCCAAACATTTTTGCCCGTGTATGAGATAAGACATATATGTTTTATATCCGGCCGCATACGGTACAACAAAATGAAGTTGGGTAGTGTTAGGGTACATTCCTGTCTCGACATTTATGTCTCAATCCCCGTTTTCCCGAGTCGCGTCGAAACATTTTGGGGATCTCGCGTCACAAAAAAGCAATGTACCGCAAAATTAGGCGCCCTAAACCCTAAACCCTAAATGCACAGCTGGGCGCAATTGATTGGGTGACAAAAATTACTGTATTCCCGATTCTTCAATCGCGCGGCTGGGGTGTGGTTTCGACACGCGGGATTCTTTCCCGCGCAAAATTGGCATTTCGGGAAGACCAGGTGCATTGACGAGTCGGTTGTCAATTCGTCAGCGGCGTCAGTGCGTTTCACGCTGACTGATAAAAAAATGCAGTAATGGTCGCTAGAAGGCGACTCGCGCTTGAGACATTGTACGTTTTATGTCGATTTTGTCAGAGGTCCACTGGGGATCCCCGATGATCCTAGGGAAGGGTTACAGGCACGTCGGCCTGGGGGGTTATGGGCGCACTCACCCGCTACACAAACAAGCCCTTTTATCCCAGTGGTTAGTGGCTGGGATTCTGACATGGTATCAGAGCGAAGGTCTCGGGTTCGAATCCCGGTGTGTGCACCTCGGGCATCCCAGTGCGGGAGGGTGTCAGAGGTCCACTGGGGATCCCCGATGATCTTGGGGAAAGGTTACAGGCACGTCGGCCTGGGGGGTTATGGGCGCACTCACTCGCTACACAAACAAGCCATTTTATCCCAGTGGTTAGTGGCTGAGATTCTGACAGATTTTACGCGTCACAAACGCTTTGAGACACAAGTGTCTACAAACGCCATTGTACCCTTACTCTTGCAATAGAAATTTGTAACCATAAATAGACTAGGGTACTCTTGCAAGAAAAGTTTCAACTATAAATAGGTTATAAGAGTGTTGCCTGTTACGATGCCATAGCTTCAGGTGGCAATCGTTTATGCGAATACTTTTCAAGCACAGACTGCATCATGCTCAACAGCTGATTCACAGTGAATGGCTGGTGGGAAAGGGAGGAAATTTGGAAAATGGATTAGTAACTGGATCAGTAGCTGGATCAGTAAATGGATCAGTAACTCAATTCCGTGCTCAGGACTGTTAAACTGTGTGCTTGCTTGCCTGCGTGTGTGCAATTTCATGGGGTGCGAATGTGTGTCCGTGCATGCTTCTACATGTGCAAATCCAGGAAGGCATCACTGTGCATCTATGCATCCACAGAGAGAGGGTGAAGCGCGGGAGGGGAGCAAGGGGGGAGGAGTTGCGAGAGTGCGTGCGGTTACCTTGGAGACGAAGCCGTCCATGCCGGCAGAGATGCACTGGTCGCGGTACACGTCAGCCGCATGCGCTGTCAGCCCTGCTCACACAGGCGGGGGGGGGGGGGGGCGAGATCGCACTCAGGCACGCATCAGCTCCCTCCACAGCCGAGGGACACGAGGCTACAGCCAGGGGTTTGGGTTGGATGATGGGCAGTGGCACATGTGAACATGTAAGCTATGTGCTGTGACACACGAGCAACATGGGCACAGCCACGTAAGTAGCATGTTAGGGACATGAATGCAGCAGCAGCGTACCAATGACTGGAAGGTGGGGAAGCTTCTCTGCCGTTTCCTTCTCACGAATAACCCGCACTGTTTGAAGCCCGTCCATCACTGGCATCTGCGCCCCACGCCCCACGCTCAACCACCCACACACACACAGGCCCCACGCACAAGAAAGAAAGAAAGGGATACACTGGTGACTAATACTTCAGACCGTATGATCTGGCATTTCGCCCTCCAAGCTGACGGTATCTCTCACATGCATAGATCTGGCAAACGTGCACCACGCACGGGTGTGAGCCCACCTGCACGTGGAGCAGCAGCAGGTCGCACCTGCACGTCGAGCAGCAGGAGGTCGTAGGGCGAGATGCCGCCATCCTTGGGGTAGAGGCGCTGGATGGCCTGAGCGCCGTCGCCCACGGCGTCCGCCACCATGCCCTTCTTCTTGAGGAAGCGCACCGCCACCTTCTGGTTCACCACGCTGTCGTCCGCCAGCAGGATGTTCAGCGCCGTCACCGACAGCATGGCCCGCGGGCTCGCCGCACGCACCGGCTTCTGCTTCAGCTTCACGCTAGCCTGCCGCCCCAGCCCCGTGCCCTGCCTCACCAGTCCCCCGCCCTGCCGCCCCACCCCCGTGCCCTGCCGCTGCAGCAGCGCCAGCCCGCCTGACTTCTGCCGCAGCAGGCCCCCTCCAGCAGAGCGGCGTGCGGAGGACGACGGGGTGGACGGCACGTCCAGGGCGGGCGGCTCTCTCCCGCGCGCCAAGCTGCGCGCACCATCGCCTGCAGCGGCGGCGGTGGGGGGCGAGCGCGTGGGGGCGAGGGGGCGGGAGGCGGCAGCTTGGGCCTGGATGCGCGCGTAGATGGCCTCCATGGTGCTCGGCTCACCCGCGTCCCCGTAAGGCCGCCGCGGGGACACAGGCGGGCGCGGTGAGATGGCGGAGGGGGCAGCGGGTGCAGGTGCATGAGCAGGCGGCCTGAGGGAGGGGCGGCGCGAGTCAAAGGTGGGGGTGGAGGGCGAGTGCGCGGGGGAGGTGTCCTCAGGCAGTTGGAAGGTGAGGTGCTGCACTCGCAGCTGCCTCTGCCGCCCCAACGACCCGCATGCCCCTGCCCTGCTGCCTGACACCGCCTCTGCTGCAGCAGCCATGGCTGCATCTCCGCCACCGCTGCTTGAACCGCCACGACTGAGTGCCTCACAGGGGGCAGGACTGGCGTTGCCCTGCGTTGCTTGCAAGGGCTCCCCCTGTTCTTGGTGGCGTGCAGAGAAGTTTTCTTTGAAGCTGACGCTGGGGCGCATCTCAGGTGCTGCCTCCGTCGACCACCCACTCGCACCCACTGACAAGGGAGGACCCTGCCACCCGCTCCGGCCTCTCCATCCCACCTCCTCTCTCCTGTCGTCCTCACTCGCACTCAGTCCTTTCAACCGCTCCTCTTCTCCTCTCGCCCTCCCCACACCCTGTCCTCCGCCCTGCTCTCTCAGCACACCAGCTCCGCCCTGCTCCCTCTCACCGTCTGCACGTGCCCCTTGCAGCTGCGCCACGCCTCCCTCCACCGACAGCCGCCCAGCGCTGCCTCGCCGCACTCGCGCCTCTCTGCTGCTGTGCTGCGCCGTGCGGGCGGCGGGGGCGTCATCTTCACTCAGCCCCTCGTCCTCCCTCTCCACCACACGACTCAGCTTCGCCACACTCGCCTCCACGCCACCACTGTCCATGCCACCACCACCGGCAGCAGCACGAGGCGCAGCTGCTTGTGCATGGGGACTTCTGGGCTCGCTGCTTGCTGCTCTGCCCCCCATGCCCCCCATGCCCCCCATGCCCCCCCCTGAGCGCGGGCTGCCTGCCATGCGCGCCCCACTACCACTGCGGGGGCTCCACGATGGCAGGCAAGGCACCTCCACCCCACGGCTGCTGCTCCCCTGCACGCTCTCCTCGCCACCATGCCCACCGCCACCCTCTCTGCCTGCCACTGCTACTTCGCTGCCTGGGGCACTGCCTGTGCTTCTCCCATCGCCCTCTGTGCGCCCGCCCTGCACGGCCTCTGTGGGTTGTGAGCGCGCACCGGCCCACTCGCGTGCCTGTGTGGACCCCGTGCACTCCAGGGACCGAGTGCGCCCGCGCACCACCAGCAGCTGCCGCCGCCGCATGGCAAAGCCCTCGCTGCTGCTCCTCTCCAGCTGCCCCACTGCCTCACGCCCTTGCTGCTCCTGCTCCTGCTGCTTCCTCTCCTCAACGTTGCTGCTGCTGCTGCTGCTGCTGCACCTGCTGCAGGGGGAGTGGTTGAGGGCTATGAGACGCATGAAGGCCGAACGGAAACATCCAGCCATCTGAACCTGAGGAGACCTCCTCTGCACCCTTCTCTGCAGCAGCTGCCGCTGCTGCCACTGCCGCTGCCGCGGCTGCCACTGCTGCTGTTACGGCTGTAACCCTGCCCCCACTGTGTTGTGCGCTGTCAGCGCGGGAGCCGGTGCCACCATGAGCCTCGTCAACGCGAGGGTCCTCACCACCACAATTGCTGCCCCTCGCACCAACCAGTGCTGAGGCGGCTGCAAGGGCAGCGGTGGCATGGGCGTGGGGGCCAGCAGCAGCGAGTCTGCTGGACGGCAGCTGGCCTGCGTGCTGCTCCCTGCTCGCCTGCCGCAGCACCTCCTCCAGCATGCGCCCTGTGCTCGCATCCCCACACGTGAAGCTCTGCGTTCGCCGCCGGCTGCGCCCTGCCCTGCCCTCGCCCCGCCTCACCGCCTGCACCGCACCCCCACCACCTGCCCCTCCTGCTGCCTCCGTGCTTGCATCCATACCCCCGCCCTCCCCTCGCACTGCCGCATCACCCCTCTCTCGTGCGCCCTGCTCCCCTGCCCTGCCTGCTGCAGCGTGCAAGGCGTCGTCTGGCCGAGCAGGGAAGCTGAACTCCACCCGGGCAGCAGTAGGCACGCGGGCAGACAGGGGCGCGGCAGCGCTGGCAGCAGAGGAGGCGGCGGAGGGGGAGAGGGGGGGAGGCAGGGCGCGGGAGGAGGAGCGGTGGAGGACGAGGGAGGGCAGCAGCGAGAGCGCGTCCAGCGCCACGCGGCCGTCCACCTCCTCCGCACTCACCGTGCGCCGCGGGGGCGGGGGACGGCAGCATGCGGGGTGCAGGGGGAGAGGGGCGGCGCAGCAAAGGTGGCAGAGAAGGCAAAGGTGCTGCCGGCTCCAGGAGACGAGTGCAGCCACATGCTGCCGCCCATCATGTGAACGAGCCTGCACATGGCGTGGGGGGCGCAGCGAGGCAGCAGTGGACATCGTGGTGGCTCTACGTGCCTCTGCCTGGCTGGGCGTCTAGCACGCCCCGCCCAGCTTCACTTGTTGCTCTCTTACTTGCAACTGTGCCTTCCAAGGCAAGTCAAAAGCGTGGCTTGTAGCGGAAATGAAAGGGTGGCAGGGGGTGGGTGAGGGGCATTGGTGGGTAGGAGATGGGAGTAAGAATGGCCTACCGCGAGGTGATGGAGAAGGGAGCAAGAAGGGCCTACCGCGAGGTGATGGAGAGGCCGAGCCCGGTGCCGCCGTGCTGGCGGGACATGGAGGAGTCCACCTGCTCAAACGCACAGAAGATGCGCTTCTGCTCGCCCCGTGCTATGCCTGCCCGCACCCCCCGGGGACAGCGCAGGAGAGGGCACAGTATGTGGGGCGGAGGGAGGGGAGGGCGAAGGGCAGAGAGAAGAGGGCGGAGGGAGGGCAGGGAGGGCGGAAGTGGGAAAAGACTGGGTGAAGCAGCAGCACATGCAGGGAGAATCGTGGTGCGGTGGCAAACACACAGCATGGCACATGGCAGCACTGCCAAGGGCGTCAACTCACCAACGCCTGTGTCAACTCACCAACGCCTGTGTCAACTCACCAACGCCCGTGTCAACTCACCAACGCCCGTGTCAGTGATTGTGAAGAGCAGCGCCACTCCCTCCCCCCCTTGCGCTGCTGCTCCCTCTGACCCCCTCCCGTCACCCCCCTTGCTCCCCTCGCCCCCATGACCCTCATTATCAGTGTCGTCCCGTGCAGCAGAAGGGCCATGAGGGGCAGAGGGCGAAGGGGGTAGGCCGGTAGCACAGGCAGACGCAGCAGAGGAAGAGAGCGTGGTGGTGGTGGTGGAGGAGGAGGTGGCGGAGGCAGAGGAGGAATTGCAGGGAGACAGGTGAGAGGGCGTGAGGTCTTGAGGAAACACGGTGGAGGAGGGAGAGGAATGGGAGGAGGGAAGTGGAATGAGGGAGAGGGTTGGTGGGAGGAGGGAGGGGGAGAAGAGTTGCACGGTGATGTGCACCTTGCCCTGGTCCGTGAACTTGATGGCGTTGCCCACGAGATTCACCTGCCCTCCCAGCACAGTGCAGCAGGGAGGACGGCAGTGAGCCAGGAAGGAACACACATGCTCTCATTGCACCAACCCATGCATGCATCACCCCACGCACTCATCACCCCACGCACTCATCACCCCACGCACTCATCACCCCATGCACTCATCACCCCACGCACTCATCACCCCATGCACCCTTCATGCCACACCATGAAATTCCCCGACCATACCATCAGCAATCAACAAGAATGATCTGACAGCAGCACGCACTGTCGGAGGAACCTGAGAGCATCAGAGCCTAAGCCCTACCAGGCACTGTCGGAGGCACCTGAGAGCATCAGAGCCTAAACCTTACCAGGCACTGTCGGAGGCACCTAAACCCTACCAGGCACTGTCGGAGGCACCTGAGAGCATCAGAGCCTAAGCCCTACCAGGCACTGTCGGAGGCACCTAAACCCTACCAGGCACTGTCGGAGGCACCTAAACCGTACCAGGCACTGTCGGAGGCACCTAAGCCCTACCAGGCACTGTCGGAGGCACCTAAACCCTACCAGGCACTGTTGGAGGCACCTAAACCCTACCAGGCACTGTCGGAGGCACCTAAACCCTACCAGGCACTGTCGGAGGCACCTAAACCCTACCAGGCACTGTCGGAGGCACCTAAACCCTACCAGGCACTGTCGGAGGCGCACGGCATCGCCCAGCAGCACGGGCGGCACAGCCGCATCCACCTCCCAGTGGAAGGCCAGACCCTTGAGGGCGGCACGGGCGGCGAGCATTGTCATGATGCCGTTGAGGAGGGCGCGCAGGTCGAAGAGCGCGCAGTCGAGGTGCAGGCGGCCCGCCTCCAGCTTTGTGATGTCCAGAATGTCGTTCACCACCAGCAGCTGTGAGCGCCACGCCCCGTGCCCGCACACACACATGCACACACACACATGCACACACACACATGCACACACACACATGCACACACACACATGCACACACACACATGCACACACACACATGCACACACACACATGCACACACACACATGCACACACACACATGCACACACACACATGCACACACACACATGCACACACACACATGCACACACACACATGCACACACACACATGCACACACACACATGCACACACACACATGCACACACACACATGCACACACACACATGCACACACACACATGCACACACACACATGCACACACACACATGCACACACACACATGCACACACACACATGCACACACACACATGCACACACACACATGCACACACACACATGCACACACACACATGCACACACACACATGCACACACACACATGCACACACACACATGCACACACACACATGCACACACACACATGCACACACACACATGCACACACACACATGCACACACACACATGCACACACACACATGCACACACACACATGCACACACACACATGCACACACACACATGCACACACACACATGCACACACACACATGCACACACACACATGCACACACACACATGCACACACACACATGCACACACACACATGCACACACACACATGCACACACACACATGCACACACACACATGCACACACACACATGCACACACACACATGCACACACACACATGCACACACACACATGCACACACACACATGCACACACACACATGCACACACACACATGCACACACACACATGCATACACGCACATGCACACACACACATGCACACACACACATGCACACACACACATGCACACACACACATGCACACACACACATGCACACACACACATGCACACACACACATGCACACACACACATGCACACACACACATGCACACACACACATGCACACACACACATGCACACACACACATGCACACACACACATGCACACACACACATGCACACACACACATGCACACACACACATGCACACACACACATGCACACACACACATGCACACACACACATGCACACACACACATGCACACACACACATGCACACACACACATGCACACACACACATGCACACACACACATGCACACACACACATGCACACACACACATGCACACACACACATGCACACACACACATGCACACACACACATGCACACACACACATGCACACACACACATGCACACACACACATGCACACACACACATGCACACACACACATGCACACACACACATGCACACACGCGCACGCACACACCAACAGCGCAGGGAGTAATGGCCGGGGAGGACAGGGAGCAGGTTTCGGGGCGGGGGAAGGGAGGGAGGGGGGGAGAGCAGGAAAGGAAGAACAACATGAGAGGAGAAAGGCGCGATGATACGAGAGCCAGTTGCGACATGGTTGAAGCACACGCTCTGACGCGTTACTAGGCGGTTACCAGGCGGTTACTAGGTGGATACCAGATGGTTACGAGGCGGTTACCAGGTGGTTGGCGGACTGCAGGACGGTTTCGAGGTGTTCCCTGGCGTCGGGGGGCAGGGGCGAGTCGAGGGCGAGGTCGGTCATGCCGAGGATGCCGTGGATGGGCGTGCGGATCTCATGGCTCATGTTCGCCATGAACTGCACCTTGGCGTCCACTGCTGCCTGCACCGCCTCCCCTGCCGCCCGTGCCGCCTCGCGCTCCCGCTGCACCTCGCCCTCCAGCACTGCCACCCGCCGCGCCCACGCCGCCCGCTCTGCTTGCTCCGCCCTGGGGAGCCGCGAACGAGATCAAAAGTGTGTGGCGGAGGGACAGCAGAGGGAGGAATAGGCAACATGGCAGATTGCAGGGATGGGAGGAGTGGGTTTGGTGAGACGATCTGGTAGAGAGGCATTGACTGGTGGGCGCATGTGTGGTTGGGTTGGTGGGCGCACAGAGTTATGTGTGGTTGGGTTGGTGGGCGCACGACAAGTAACTCACGCGTCGGTGTGGCAGCAGGTGATGCAGGGTGGGCGGAGGGCGGTTGAGAGCGGCAGAAGCAAGTGGGTTAGCAGCAGGAGGGCGAGCAGGAAGAGCTGCAGCTGCAAGGGAGGAGGAAAGACGAGAGCAAGTAGCAGAGCATGCACTGTGAGCAGTGCGACGCAATACATGAGCAGAGCGACGCAATACATGGGCTGGCTGGGATGGAATGTGCCATCATCCCATCCCACGTCACCAACCTCTCACTCTCCCCTCTCTCACTCTCCCCTCTCTCACTCTCCCCTCTCTCACTCTCCCCTCTCTCACTCTCCCCCGTCTCACTCTCCCCGTCTCACTCTCCCCTGTCTCACTCTCCCCTGTCTCACTCTCCCCTCTCTCACTCTCCCCCGTCTCACTCTCCCCCGTCTCACTCTCCCCTCTCTCACTCTCCCCTCTCTCACTCTCCCCTCTCTCACTCTCCCCTCTCTCACTCTCCCCCGCCTCACTCTCCCCCGTCTCACTCTCCCCGGTCTCACTCTCCCCTATCTCACTCTCCCCTGTCTCACTCACTCATTCCCACCCTCACGAACCGACTTGCCGAGTCCCACCATCATCCAGGGGCACTCTCCCGCCAATCACCTGCAGGGTAGCTTCCAGTGGAACAACGCGGTGAAAGGGGCCCCACCCTGCTGACGTGGCTGACAGGGCCGATGCTGACAGTGCCAGCGTGGCAGCTGCAAGGTGGCTGGTGGAGGGAGAAGCGGGTGGAGGGAGAAGCGGGTGGAGGGAGAAGCGGGTGGAGGGAGAAGCGGGTGGAGGGAGAAGCGGGTGGAGGGAGAAGCGGGTGGAGGGAGAAGCGGGTGGAGGGAGAAGCGGGTGGAGGGAGAAGCGGGTGGAGGGAGAAGCGGGTGGACACAGTTGAGGGGTGCATGCAGAGTGGGTAGGCGCATGCAGAGTGGGTAGGCGCATGCAGAGTGGGTAGGCGCATGCAGAGTGGGTAGGTGCCGTGCCGTGCATGCATGAGAGGCGGGCGGAGGTCAACAGGCACAGCGTGGAGCACCAGGAAGCATGCACAGCGAGGCAGTTACCGTGGCGAGTGGGCAGCGCAGCACAGGAGGGTGGGAGCGAGCAGGGCGGCGAGGGGGGCGGCATGGGAGGCGGAGAGGGCGCCAGAGAGCAGAGCGCCACAGCTGCCCGCCACCACACCGCACAGCACCGCCACACCCCATGCTCCGCCACCCCCCCTGCTCGCCACCACGCCTCCCCCCAACCTGCCATGCGCTGCTCCCCCCTTAGCGTACAGCCCCTCCGCCCATCCCCCTTCCCCATTGCTCTCCGCACTGCCCTTCCCACTACCTCCCTCCCCCACACCCTCGCTGTCCTTTGCACCCCCATTGTTTCCCCCCTCCCTCGCCTTGCTCGCTCCAGCCTGCTCCTCCCCCATCGTGCCCTCCTTCCCCCTTGCCTGCCCCGCCTCCCCTTCCCCTTGCATGTGCGCATGTGGCGCAGCAGGGGCGTGCGCCAGGGCCAGCAGCAGCGCGCCCAGCAGCAGCGCCACGAGGTCCGCCAGCAGCAGGCGCAGGGCGCGCGCCCAGAAGGCGGGGGGGGACGAGGGGGGGCGCGCAAGGAGGAGGAGGGGGAGGAGCGAGGAGGACGAGGAGGTGGCGGCGGCTGTGGCTGCGAGCAGCAGCAGCAGGCGGGCGAGCGCGAGCGCGGGTGGGGCGAGCGCCGCAGCCACGAGGGGAGAAGGGTTGGCAGCGCGGGGGTTGAGGGTGGCGGGCGAGGGGAGGCGGGGGAGGAGAGGAGTGGCTGCGGCGACGATGAGATGCAGCAGCGCCGCGTCCAGCACACCTGCGCACGGGGTGAACGGGCAGGGTGAACGGGCAGGGTGAACGGGCAGGGACGCGAAGGAAGCAACAGGAGTGCCGAGGAGGGATGGCAGGAATGGCGGAGAGCAGCAGGAGTGGCGGTGAGCAGCAGGAGTGGCGCGTAGCAGCAGGAGTGGCGCGGAGCAGCAGGAGTGGCGCGGAGCAGCAGGATTGGAGGGAAGCAGCGCAATTAGCGATTGCGGGAGGAGTGGTGGAACGGGAAGAGGAAGAAGAAGGTGAAGAGGGGAGGATCCATGGAGTGGGGAGAGGTTTATGGCGGCGAAGGGTTACGCTACCTTCGAGTATGGGGAAGAGCGGAGCCCTGCTATCCGCGCATTGCGGCCCTTCTTCCGCGCATTGCGGCCCTTCTTCCGCGCATTGCGGCCCTTCTTCCGCGCATTGCGCCTGCAGCGGAGGCTCATTGCTGGCGGGGACGGACAAGGAGGGACGCGTGTGGGGGATGGGATGGTGGGTGGGATCTGGGGAGCACGCAAGGTCAGCGCGCAGAGAGGGGGCCTGGCGGCGGAGATAGACGCGCGCAAGGGCGCCACTCAACGCTGCGCCAGCCAGCGCAGCGGCGTGCCGTTCCCCCGCCCCGCCGCTCGCAGCCGCCGCGATCAGACTCGCAGCCGCTCGCACGCGAACCGGCGCCGCCGCCACGTGGTGATGAGAGGGCGAGCCCGCGAGATGCGGCAGCTGCACGGCGCGGGTGAGCGCGTCGGACGCGAGGCCGAGCGCACACGCCAACAGTGCAGCGGCGAGCAGCCGAGCCGTGCATGCGGCGCGCTCTGACGCGAGGGCGGCCCGCATGGTGGCGGTTGGGCAATGCGAGAAGCTTTCAGAAGGCCTTGCAAGCCTTTGGGTGGTCTCGGCGGGGGTGTGGCATTGTGGCCAGCACCTGCGGTGGGGGGATGCGCTGCTTTAGGGGTTTTTACGAGGATGCAGCCTCGCGTGTCGTGCGTCGTTGGTATACTGCACCTGCGACTACGGCTGCATTAGCTAGGACGGAAGCCCTAACCTTCGACAGTGTCCACGATAAAGGGTAGGAATAGAAGTGCAATCAATTGCGACGCTAAAATATACAGGTTGTACAATAAAGGGTAGGAATAGAAGTGCCGTTTTGCATCAATCAAGCTCCTTTCGCTGGCGTTTGGTCCTTCAAGTTGGCTTCGTACAGTCGCTAAGACGGCCTCATAACGGCCTGTAACAAGGGAAATTGGTGACAAGACTTTTAGCGACAAATTAGGTTCTGTAGAGATCTGCATACTATTTTTTGCCTTGATTAGCTTATAATCAGAATATAAAATTGATGCTGTCCATTTTCACTCCAATACTGTGCCATAATTCTAACCTGATCGTGTATGGATATGGACTATACTTAGTATGATAAATATAATGCATGAAAAAGGTCCCGTGTGTTTCATTTTCTCTTCATTAACGTGGTACCGCCTAGCACCTTTTCTCATCTTCCTTCTATAGCTACGTTCAGTGGAAGTGACAATGACGAGCGAAGGTACAGTTGGTTCCGTTCCCCCAGTTTCTGTGGTGCTGCGGGGAAGCGGGGGAGGGGGGGGGCGCCGGGGTGTCCCCTGTCCAGCCCACACTTCACTCACTCAGCTTGTCCCCACACAGACGACAAAAGGGAGGGCGGTACCCCTCGTTATTGGCTTTCTGATTGGCAGCGACGAAAAATTAGCCACTCCGCGTGAATGCGAAACCACGCTACAGTACGTGGCGGTCCTCTCAACAGAGAAACACTCACATCAACAGATGCCGCAGCCGCAGCATGTTTCGAACTGTAGTGTACAGTCGGTGCTCATTTCAAGAACACCAGGTAGGCGGGAGGCATGTGAGCGAAACGAGTTTTAAGCATTTCGCCACATTCGCCCTTGTCGCCACGGGCAAAAATGTGATTGTAAAATGAAATCGGAATGCAAAACGAGTACAAGGGTTTAAGTTCGTAACCAGGTAAACAATTCTGATGACAGGCAGCCGTTGTTGTTTATGAACTGTAGATGTTTTTCTTCCTCGACTTGGTGACTGTACCCCGAAATCAGCACAATCACCACTCACAGGCAAAACGTTCGCGAGTGACTGTTTTTCTAACTCTCATGAGCAAATTTTTGTGATAGGCTGAGCATCGACTGTACCCAACGCAAAGGATCCCCCAGGGGACCGTTGGCTTCGCCCTGCTTCAGTCTTGGGGCTGGTAGCTTGATCTGGGACCGTATTCGTCGTGTAAAAGTCGAAGTCGAGTCGATCCAAAGCGCACCCCAAACCATGGTGATCTGTAACTGTGTTACTCTGACGAAACTTTCTGGGATCCAACGACGGCTTTTAACTGGTGGCACACTAACAAGCAGTCGTACTTACCCATGAATGGTCCCAAGGATGTTCCAAATCTCCGACTGTGGGAGTGGATCATTTCATTAGCTTGTCTGAAACGGCGAGCAGGTTCAGCGGCCTCCATGACTGTCGCCTAGGGTTTGACAGGGGCGAGGGTCGCCGCTGACGCAAATAGTACACTGTAATGCGGGTGGGAATCAGGACTACGGACACGGCCTGATCGTTGTTGTGTTCTGCAAGGCTGCTTTAGGTCAAAACGTAACATGTCCGTACTCCTCCTAAATGGCTAACTTTAGTACCATTCTAGTTAAAGTCCTATTACGATGTATATTTGAATATTAGTTGGGCTGCTATCGGTCTAGAATGATTGCGTTAATCGGTTATTAATTATTATGACCTCGACATACTGCTGATTAGGCAGAGGCCCTAGTTGTGCTGTCGTCTGAGTTGCACGTGAGATTGGAAGTTTAGTCGCAGCGAGCGATGACAGCGACGGCGTCGGAAGTGACGTGGGTGGTGGAGGTGACTAAGTACAAGGACGTCAGCAAGGATGCGCTCTCCGTCGCCATGGCGGATCTCGAAACTGAGGTGTCGCGGGGAAACGGACCCATCACTATCCTTCTCGTGCATGTCATGACTGAGGTCCCGTGTTCCCGTGAGTCTGAAAGGATTCTGACTGCTTCTGGCTAGCCCCGTTAGGACTTGCGATCATCACATTCCAATCCCTGTCTTGATTCTCTTCGCGTCACTGTGCTTACTATTCCCTCGTTTTTTTCCCGATGTTGCTCCTCCCCTCTTCTCTGTATGTCTTTTACTTCGTGTCTTCGTGCGCGGTCTTATGCTTTAGGTCGTGATTGGTCCTGCTTGAGATTATGTTGAAAGGATCAATGAGTTCAAAGTTAATGCACTGTTTTTCAGGGTTCGAGTCAGCGTTTTCCGTCGCGCATTCCCGTCGTTTGCGTGCGAGGTCATTGCCGTCGTCACGGGTCATGTCGACGGGGTTGGGAATCGAATGACACCTCCCCGTGCCTTGCATCGCGTCACCGCCTCTGACCGCGTCTTGCGGGCCTTTCCCTCCAAATCACCCTTTCGTCCTCCCCATTCGCCGTCGCCCTGGTAACCCCCTTCCCTTCCCCACCCCAACCCCCCTTTCCTCACGCCACTCTCTCCCGCATCGTGGACGGCGCGCGGGGCGGCAGGCGGAATGGACCTGCCGGCGAGCGAGGTGGATCCGAAGACGGCGCTGGAGCACGGCCGCCGCCTCGTCGAGGTCATGCTGCGCCCGCTGCTCGCGCACGCCAAAACCAAAAAGGTGCTCGCGCACGCCAAAACCAAAAAGGTGCTCGCGCACGCCAAACCTCGCGCACGCCAAACCTCGCGCACGCCAATCCTCGCGCGTGCTCGTGCTACACACGCGCTACCGCAAACCAAGTCATGCAGAATAGCGCCAAGGAATGCAGAATGAAATAGGCGCTAATGGACTAGCCTGAAAGAGATGATGCTTGGCGAGTCGGAAATAGCGAATCCGCGATTGACGCGTGCGTGCAGTAAAAAGAGGTCTGACAAGCGCGCTCGCATGTGTCACGGGCTGTATTCTAGGATGTGAGCTTCCATTTCCCCTCAACTCAACGCCATCGTTACCCCCCTTCCCCCTCCGTTTCTTTTCTGCTCTCCCCCGCGCGCGCGCCAGGTGCACTGCAACGCGTCCATTGAGCGCAACGACCGCCGCGAGCTGGGGCTGTGTGCTGCTGCGCGCCGAGCCAAGGCGCAGCGCGTCTACGTGGGCCTGCGCAAGTGAGCACGCCCTGCCTCTCCGCTCTGCCGCCCTTTCCGATTGTGTTGTGTGCGTTGCACCCTTCTAGCACCATTTTGCAGTGCGATCCTTTCTGCCGCCCTTACTGCTCTCACCTTCTCTCTTTGCGTCCCACTTTCTTCGCCTGTTCTGCCTTGTCCGGGGCTGTCTGGGCTTGTCCGGGGCTGTCTGGGCTTGTCCGGGGCTGTCTGGGCTTGTCCGGGTCTGTCTGGGCTTGTCCGGGCCTGTGCGGGGCTCGTGTGGGGCGGTGGGGGCGGCAGGAAGCTGCTGGGGTGGTCGACATCAGCGTCGGCGCACTACGAAGCGGGGCTGCCGCCGTCATGCCTGCTCGTCGTGGTGCAGGGCGCCAAGCAGCTCCAGTCGCTGCCGGGCTCGGGGGGGGACGCGCCCTTCTTCGTTGTCTCCCCCAACGCCTTCATCTTCTGCCGCTACAACGCCCCCGCCGCCCCTGCCTCCGCCGCGCCCGCGTCCGCCACGTCGGGGTCCGCCACGCCCGACTCAGAGCACCTCTCCGCGCAGCACCCCAACCCGCACTTCAACCCGCCCTCGCTCGCCGTGCCTGGGGCGCCCGCTATGACTGCGGCAGGGGGTATGGGCATTAGGGCAGGCGAGGGGGTGGCAGCAGGGCACCGCGCGTCGCCGTCGCTGTCGCAGGTGGAGGGCGCGCACGCGCTGCTGTCGCCCCAGCATGCGCGCTCGTCCAGCGCGCGCTTCTCCCCCGCGCTGGCCGCGCTCGCCTCCGCCTCACCTTCAGGCCTGGGCGCCGTGCGGGAGTCGTGGTCGCAGGGCGCGTCGCCCATGGTGGCGCGCGGGGGCGTGGGAGGGGCAGGGCTGGGACCGGGGATGGGAGCAGGAGCAGGGGGGGGCGCGAGTCTAGCAGGGACAGGCAGCCACAGTGGCGGCTTCCCTGGGGTTGCTGTGGGGGGTGTAGATGCCGCTGCAGCGGGCGCGTGTGATGCGCCGCCACCCCTGTGCGCAGGGGCGTGCGGGGGAGGTGGGTCGTGTGTGGAGGGCTGGGGGAAGGCGGTGGCGGTGGGGGGGGAGCAGCTGCGGCCGGGAGTGATCTACTCGTCCGTGGAGGGCAGCACGGAGGCGCCGGGCAGGCCGGGCAGCAGCAGCGGCAGCACCACCGCCTTCCCAGGCGACCTCAACGCCTCCGCGCTATCCTCCCTGCAGGTGCGCCCCCTCCCCTCCTGCTCACATCGCCCCCTCCCCTCCTGCTCACATCGCCCCCTCCCTTGTATGTTCTCGGTGCCGTCCCGTGCCCCTCGCCTCTGTGCGCCCGCAGCAGCCCTCTTGGCGTCCGCCCCCTTGATGCTCGCGCTACTCACCTCTCTCGCCCGCCGCTGCTCCACTTGGCTTCTCCCCTGCCTACCTCCGCGCTCCTTGACCTTCGCGCTCTCTCCTCTCTTCTCCCGAGAAATGTGATGGGTGGTGTGTGGGGCATGGCATGTGGTGTGGGTATGGCATGTGGTGTGTGGGGCATGGCATGGTATGGGTTGTCACAGGAGGACCGGCTAGCGAGTCTGAGGGCGATGATGCCGGTGGACGCGTCCACGGGGCACACGTCGCTCGCTGCCTCCGCGCTCTCCTCCATGGAGCTGCCCACGCTCGCTGCTGACTACTGCCCCCCTGGCGTCGCTGCAGCAGCCATTGCTGAGACGCTCGCCCTGCACCACCCCCATCACCACCACCACGCGCACCACCACTCGCTGCTGCCCTCCCCTGCCCCGCCCTCCCTGCCGGCCGCCTCCCCCGTCGATGAGAACGACTACCACCGCAGCCTCTCCGATGCGGCCCGCCACAAGCCCGGCCTGCCGCCCACACGATTCACGGCCAGGGATGCAGCGGGCGGCGTGGTGGGCGGCGGTGGGCTGCGGGAGGCGGTGCGGTCGAGCAGTGCCAGCGCCATGCCGCTCGACTCCGCTGCCGCTGCTGCCGCCGCCGCTGCGGCCGCGCTGGCCTTCTCTGGCGCCTCCCCCGCGTCCACCGGCCGCCTCGCCCCGCCCCTCCACGCGGGGCGTGACAGCCCCGGCGTGCGCCGCGTGGCCTTCTGCGTGGCCCCGCAGGGCGCCGCTGCTCTGGGCCGGCTGGGGGGCGCGGGGGGCGCGCAGATGGGGGAGCCGGGGGCGGGCAGGGAGATGGAGGGCAATGGCGGTGCGGGTGGGGGCGGGGGCGGGGGTGGCGGGGGGGGCATGCGGTCGCTGCTGGCAGACGAGCTGGCGCTGCTGGATGAGGAGGAGGAGGCCGGTGGGGGCGGGGAGGAGCGGTGGGAAGGCAAGGCCGTGAGCAGCAACAGAGCGGCGGAGGCGGGTGCAGACGCACGAGGCAACGAGAACAAGTCAGAGGTGGGTCATGTCAGCTGCCCACTCACTCATGCACTCTCTGCATCTCTCTCCTCTTGCTCCTCTATCCCCTCCCCCTCTCTTCGTCACCCCAACCATGCCAATCTGCTTATATCCACATTCCTCTCTCAACTCCACCGCATCCCAACCCCTCACTCTCCCTCTCTTCCCCCCCCCCCCCCCCGTGTCACCCCGTGTGCGAGCAGCGCTTCCTGTCGCAGCAGCTGCGGGCACTGCAGCTGAGTGGGCCGCAGAGTGCACTCTCTGCCGACTCACCCGCAGATGCCGTGCATGCCGGGGCAGGGGGGGCGGAGGCAGCGCGGGCGGTGGCGGAGATGGAGGCGCCGGGGCAGGTGGGGGGCGCGCCCAGCAACCGCTTCTCCTCGCGCTTCTCCTCCTCGCGCCCCGCCGGCCCCGCCGCCGTCTCCTCGCTGCTGCCGCCCGTCGCGGGGGGCTTCAGCACGGGCGGCGCGAGCAGCACACAGAACGTGGGGGCGCACAGCATGGGGCAGATCGACCTGCGCGGACTGGGGGCGGGCGGGGACGGGTTTGACTGCCGGCTGTTCACGCCCAAGCAGCTGGAGAAGGCGACTCGCGGGTACGCGCGGGAGAACCTGCTGGGGCGCGGGTCGTTTGGGTACGTGTTCAAGGGCGAGATGCTGGGGTGCAAGGTGGCCGTGAAGCGCCTCGAGGGGCAGGGCTGGCAGGGGCCTGATGAGTTCCGCATGGAGGTGGAGGTGCTGAGCCGCATGCGCCACCCCAACATCGTGCTTCTCATGGGCTGCTGCGTCGAGGAAATGGCCCTCATCTACGAGTTCCTCTCGGGTGGCACGCTACAGGACAAGCTCGGCCCGCCAAAGACGCCCGATGCCGTGCCTCTCTCGTGGGTGGACCGGCTGAGAATATTCTCGGAGATCTCGTCGGCTCTGCTGTACCTGCACCAGAACGAGCCGCCCATCGTGCACCGCGACTTAAAGCCCGACAACATCCTGCTGGACGCGCACATGATGAGCAAGATCGGCGACGTGGGGCTGGCGCGGCTGCTGTGCGCGGATGACGTGATGACGATGAAGGTGCGTGGCACGGCGGGGTACATCGACCCTGAGGAGGTGGAGACATGTGAGATCAGCGTGCTCTCCGACATCTACGCGCTGGGGCTCATCCTGCTGCAGCTGCTCACGGGGCAGCGCAGTGTCAAGGCCGTGCACCGCATGCTGGCCGACTGCACCACCCGCCCCGCCACGCCCGCCCAGCCCAGGGCGGCGGCGGGGGCGGAGGTGGTGCTGCGCTACCTGGACACGGCGGCGGGCGACTGGCGGCTGGACCTGGCGGAGCAGGTGGCGGCGCTGGCGCTGCGCTGCGCTGAGCGGCGAAGGGAGAGGCGGCCCGACCTGGCGGAGGAGATCCACCCCACGCTGGTGCGCGTGGCGGCAGAGGCCAGCGCGGAGGAGCGACGACGCAAGAAGCGCATCGACTCGCAGTTCATCTGCCCCATCTCCAAGGTGCGACTCGCAGTTCATCTGCCCCATCTCCAAGGTGTGACTCGCAGTTCATCTGCCCCATCTCCAAGGTGTGACTCGCAGTTCATCTGCCCCATCTCCAAGGTGCGTGCCCCTGCCCTATAGCCTGGTGCAGAGGCCTGTTTGATTGACATTGGCACCTTTCATCTGCCATGCCTGCTAGGCAGGAAGCGTGTGCCTGAGGTCAGGAAGCGTGTGCCTGAGATCAGGAAGCGTGTGCCTGAGATCAGGAAGCGTGTGCCTGAGGTCAGGAAGCGTGTGCCTGAGGTCAGGAAGCGTGTGCCTGAGGTCAGGAAGCGTGTGCCTGAGATCAGGAAGCGTGTGCCTGAGATCAGGAAGCGTGTGCCTGAGGTCAGGAAGCGTGTGCCTGAGGTCACGAAGCGTGTACCTGAGGTCAGGAAGCGTGTGCCTGAGGTCAGGAAGCGTGTGCCTGAGGTCAGAAAGCGTGTGCCTGAGGTCAGGAAGCGTGTGCCTGAGGTCAGGAAGCGTGTGCCTGAGGTCAGGAAGCGTGTGCCTGAGGTCAGGAAGCATGTGGTGCTTCTTATGCACAGTTGGAATGAGTCGCCAAGGCTTGTTCCTCCCCCAATGTCAATGTACCTTGTCTCTCCGCGTGCTGTGGGCTTGGGCGGATGCGTGCATGGGTGCTTGTGTGGGCATGAATGTGAATGGGTGTGTGTGCTAAGCTGCATGCGTCCATAAGTGTATGTGTGCACGGGTGTGTGTGCATGCATGGGTGTGTGCATGTGTGTGTGTGCTATGGATGTGTGTGTGTGTGTGGTTGGATACATGTGTGGGTGTGGGGCATGGGCATGAGCAGGAGATAATGAAGGATCCAGTGGTGGCGGCGGACGGCTTCACATACGAGCGCCAGCACATCACCGCCTGGATGGCCTCCTCCTCGCTCTCCCCCGCCACGGGCCAGCCCCTCCCCCACACCTGCCTGACGCCCAACAACGTGCTCAAGAACCTCATCGCCTCACACAAGTTCCACTGACCACCCACAGCCTGCACTCTTGCTGCCCAGGTCCCGCTGTCGCCCCCCACAAGTTTCTCTGACGCCCCAAAGTTCCGCCGCTGCCCTCCCTGGTGTGGTGCACTGTGGAGCAGTAGAGGGAGCGAGATAAGCAAGGCGCATGAGACGTGGAAGCATCTGGTGTCTGACGACCACAGGTGCAGGAGGGACCACAAGGCTGTTGTTACTCTGCCCTCTCGTTTGCTCCAAGTGCCGCCCCGCCATCAGTCGTGGTCGTTTCAATATTTCTCCCGAAAGTGAATAAGCAGACGCCAGCTTTCAGCTGTCTTAATCTGCTAGGTTGGTCAAGCTTTCCGCCAGCATCAAGCAAGCTAGTGAGGCTGTAGTTAACTGCATGCACTGCCCCCCATCAGCCAGCGATTGCTCATACGGTGTCTCACTGAACATTGTATGAGGTGACTGTCAGTCCAGACTGGTTACAGTGCTGGATAGTAGGAAAGAATGTGATTACCCACTATATGTAAGTGAAGCTGATCTCATGGTGGAGAGAAGACAAAAATCTCAGAATCGCGAGGATTTGTTCAATCCAAGTAGATACGGTAAACTCTGTTTTTGGCGATATCACGTTCTTGGCCCGTGTCTAGCTCCGGGCCAAGTTTAGGGCGCGTAACTTTTTCACTTTTCATCGTCCGGACGGAGGACCCGTACGGACTTTTGTAGGGTTACGTATTTCGCCTAGCTTCGTTATTGAGTTCGTGAGAGACATCGCGATCGTCCGTCGTTCGACACTTTTCTGCTTGATCGTCCGAACTCCTGCGTCGTCATTTCGGAGTTCTGGCGACTCGGTTTCCTGCTCGCCAGAACCACGTTTTGACGGAAAGGCAACACAGAAGTTCCACTATCGTCCGAACGGGCACACAGACTCACAGCACTACAAAAAAGCGAACTCTCTACAGTCCGGCTTTTTTCTGACACAACTTCATGCATGCGAAGCGGCCGATTTGCTGACGAGGTGGGTTATAAGCGTTACTGTTTCGCTCAAAATGCAGTTTTCGCAACTGCAAAAAAGTGTCATATTGAGAAAGCTTGCTTTCTTGTCCTTATAATTTGGCATCGTTCTCATTGCAACTGGGCATCGTTCTCATTGCAACTGGCTTATTACAACATATGCAACGTTCTTAAACACATGCTAGTACATACAAATATTACTAGCTATAGAGTCGTCCGTCCAAGCAGCAGTGGTCTTGTAGTTGGTCCGGGGTGGGTGGTGGGGATGTTGATTGAGCCGTTGAAAAACGAGAAACGTGGGTGGAGGGAATGAACTCCAACCCACGGTTTTTGTAGTTGGAGAAGGGCGTTTAGCGCGCTTCGACGCTGCCAAATATTCGGTACAGGCAGCTTCGCTTTCACAATACACAATTTTGAAAACATCAATGTGTTTAAAAATTATAATATTGAGAAAGCTTGCTTTCTTGTCCTTATAATTTGGCATCGTTCTCATTGCAACTGGGGCCTCTGAGACATGGGCAGTGGTGGCTTCCGGTTGCGTAAGAGTGCCTCCGCGTGCTGTTCTAGAGGCAGTGCGTATGTCGGGTCCTGTAGGTCGCGGGATGCCTTGATAAGATGTCCGACGTATGGTGTCACGTACATCTCTCTGGCTGTGTCACTTCGCCACCTGCCCATCCTTTTGAAGATCCTGTCCGGAACGCCGATGTTGGCTGCTACGGTTGCCGCGCCTTTTTGGAAGGAGTGCGTGCCGAGCTGCTGCTCCCCAAGTCCAACTTTTGCGAATGCTTCTTTACACCAGTTCCGGATCGTTGTGTACGAGGGTGGCTTGGCCTGGCCCTTGTCGGCGGGAGCATGGCCAAAAACGCGAATCAGCGACCCTTCTGAATGCGGGCCATAGCCTGCGAGTTGGATGAAGCGTTGGGTGCAGCGCACTGGGCAACAGGGGTCCGTCGTTGCTGCGATGGGGATCCAAGTTCCACGACCAGCCTGGTCCGTTTTGGAGTGTGGGATGAGGATCCACATGACTTCGTCGTCGAATTGGATGTCTTGCCACTGGATGGCAACCAGGTCGGAGTAGCGTAAAAATCCGGAGTACATGAGGATAGGGATCAACCCCTTCTGAAATTCAGCAGGATTGGCCGACCGCAAATAGTTCGCGGACATGTCCCGAACTTGTTGGATTGATACAGGCTCCTTCAAACGACTAGGGCGAGGGCAGTGTCTCTTCGCGTAGTCCCGCACTTGGGTGGTGAACGGTCCGACAGTCGGGCATTTGCTTCCAGTCATGCGATGGGCGAAGCTGACTGCCGAGCACGTGAGCTGTACTACAGACAAGGTTGCTTTGCGTTGGATTGCGTGCACCAAGTATAGCGCGAGGGCCATGTCGGACGCGGGAAGAAAGGGAAGATCCACCTTTGTGCAGAAGGCCCGAAACTTGGTCCAGTACGGTTCGTATGTACGGATCGTCGAATTCGCTCGCGATTGTGTGAGCATGTTGATGAGTTGGTTGTGTAGCTTTGGTAGCAGATCTGGACACAAGGCACGTACGCTCTCAATTAGTCAAATACCACCCGAAGTGCGATCATTGGGCTGTGTGGTAATCCGGTGCCTGAAAAGGCAGTGGAATGTGTTCCCGCTGCCAGGCACTGGCTGCCGTGTGTCAAGGGAATGTGCGCGTGGATGTACGGTGCCCAGTTTCGTGGGGAAGGTTGTATGAGTGGCCACCAGTTTGCACCCGGCCAGTGTGGGATGATCAGTGTGAGCGATGCATGGGTGCGTTGTGCGTGATGGAGGACGGCCGGTACTAAGTGGGGCGGGGGGAAAGCAAAGCTATTTTCTGCTGTCCAGGCGAGCGAAAATGCGTCTACTGCGGTGGCTAGTGGGTGAGGAATTTTCGTGCAGAAGCGTGGCAGCTGAGAGTTGCGGGGATTTGCAAAGAGGTCGATGGAATGGGGACCCCAACGTCGTTCTAAGATGCGGAACCACGGCGTCTTCAACGAGTAGTCGTCATGATCGACTGATTTTGAGAGCTCATCAGCGTGTGAGTTTAGCTCGCGTGGGATCCATTCGATGATTAGACGCGTGCCGTGCTCCATGCATATCCGAATGATGGCTTGGCAGGCCGTGGTAAGGTCGGGGCTGCGCGAGCCACCTTTGCGAAGGATGAAGAAGACGCCCTGATTGTCCACCCGCACAAGAACATGTTTGTGTCTGATCTTGCTGGAGTATGTTTGGAGTGCCCAAAGCACTCCTTCGATCTCCCTCCGTGTGCTGGACGTCGCTTGCAGTGGCTCTGGCATTGTTGCGCTGGCTTCTTCGAGGCCGCCAGGGAAGGTGGTCAAAGTGGCGCCCCAACTGTGAGCGCTAGCGTCCACATGGATTACAGCATCGTAGCTGTTTCGAACGTGAAACGGCGCACCGTTGAACCGATCAAACTCTTCGAGCCAGAAGTTTAGCTCCTCAGCCGCAGGTGGGGGGATGATCACGCTGCTTTTCCATGAAGGTGCGTCATTGATCACTTGTAGCATGGCGTGGCTGAAGGCACGAGCTGTTGCACCCAGCGCGACGCCCATTGACGCGAGCATGCCTGTGATTCTGGCCACTTGGCGAACTGAGACGGGTCGACAGGCCTTGCTTGCGCTCAACAGGTTCCGAATGGTTGCATGAAGTGAGGCTCGTCGTTCGGGACCGATGGTAAATCGGCCGGTGACCGTGTCTAGCTCCACACCCAAGAATCGAAGGTGTTGCGATGGTGACAGTTGTGATTTCTTTGCATTTATCACCAAACCCGCTGCTTTAAGGTCCAGTATCACACGGTGGCACGTGGCCTGCGCGTGGGCTTTTGACTGGCAAAGGAATAAGATGTCGTCCACGTATGGTACTACTCGAATGCCTTGCTCTCGCCAGCGACGGGCTAGCTGCTTGATGAGTTGCGTGAAGACGAATGGGGCTGTCGCAAGACCGAACGGCAATGAACGAAAGGAGTAAGTGCGCCCATCGAATCCGAAACCGAGAAACTTCCAGCACGAGGGATGGATGTCGATGTGATGGTACCCGGATTTGAGATCGATAGAAAACATCCAATCCCCAGCTCGTGCGACGTCTGCCACGCGGCTGAGTCCTTCGTACTTGAATTTTGGAACGATGAGGTTTGCGTTGACTTTTCTCAGGTCAAGGATGAGCCTACATTTTTCTCTCTGCTCGACCACGTTAAGTGGGCTTATGCACGTAAGCTCGCTTGCGGCTGTCTCGACTGCAGCCCCGGTCTCTGTGAGTTCTTGGATGGCAGTACGTGTGAACGTAGCATGCGCGTATGCACCGGCGTGGTTCCGCTCCCGGAAGGCCGGTGGTGGGCCGTGGCTCCATGGAAGCCAGTAACCGTTGGCGATTATGGATAGAACAAGGCTGCAAGGGCACCATGAGCTCCACCACGCAAAGGTCGAGCGAAGCCGACCGCACATCCGTGTGACGGTTTTGTCCGTGACGGCGAATTCGTACGGGTCTTCGTCGCGAGGCACCTCGTATTGTTGTGCTCCTGTTTGTACGGCAAGGAATTGAACGGGACCAATCAAGTTACACGCCTTAATTAGTGAATGCGTGTGACATATACATGCATGCGCGAAAGATGAACCGTCAGCAGTGAGAACCATACGAACGGTTTGTCATCATTCCATATTGGGCGTCCGATCGCACCTTGGCAAACTCTTTCCCATGCTTTTTTTTTTTTTTTTTTTTTTTTTTTTTTTTTTTTTTTTTTTTTTTTTTTTTTAACCTTGCTCTAGGATTGATGCTTGGGACCGCGATCATGCTTCACTTCTCTCTTTCTCTCTCTCTCTTCTCTCTCTCTCTCTCTCTCTCTCTCTCTCTCTCTCTCTCTCTCTCTCTCTCTCTCTCTCTCTCTCTCTCACACACACACACACACACACACACTCTCTCTCCCTCTCTTTTTGTGCATGTTTCCATCATTGTTTGAGCATTTGCATGCTTCGCTTGCCATGGGCTCGTGTCTTTCC